AGGGGGAGACCGTCAGCCTTCTCTGGGACTGAGCAGTGCCAGCATCTGGAGAGAGCCCAGTGGCGGGGTGGCACCAGAGCTAGGGAGAAATGTCAGAGCTAAGAGGAGGTGGCAGTGTCCTGGGAGGGTATGAGTCAGTGGAGCCTGGACCCCAAGGGCTCCTCCCAGGAGAGAGCCTGAGAGAATGGCTTGGAGCAAAAGGGCAGGAACCTAGTCACTGCAGAACCCGTGCTGGGTGCCCTGCTGTGCGAGAAGCAGTCCCGGGGTGCCCCACCCAGGGCCACTGCTCCAGCTTTCTAACCCCTCATTCTGTGTTCAGACCCAAAGATGGCCCACACAGGGGCCACACAGGAGCCAGCATCCACTGCATGGAGCTGGGCTCCACAGCCACTGGAGTGCCCCAGCTGCTGGGTGAGTGAGGCACGGGAGTGGAGGGAGGTGGGGAGGGGTGGGAAGTGGGGGCTCTTGCTTTCCACTTCCTTCCAGGTGGGTCTCCCTCCTCCCCACACAGCACCCAGCCACCCTGAGCCCCTACCCTGGTCGGCCTCAGCAACTCCTGCCAGTTATGGTGACAGCACCTACCATTCACCATTGCTCCCAGACCCTGAGAACTCTGCCAGAGCCCAAGAGCCGCCCTGAGAAGCCTGTGCCCGTAGCCCTGCCTGGCCCCCAGGGTAGGTGGGGACTCCGATGCAGAACCCTTCCCTCTTTCACTCAGACACCCAACTCTTCTGCACAGCGAGGCTCCTGCCCCATCCCCTGAGGTTCCTGGGCTATCCTGGAATGAAGCCTGACCTCTTGGGGAAGCTGCTACCAAGATGCTGGAGGCCCTGGAGTGGGGGAGATGGGGCTCTTCCTGGGTCATTGGTCCCCACCGAGGGAGGACAGGGGCTCCCTACCATATGACTTTCGGCCAGGAACCCCTCCTCAGGGGATGACCCCTCTTCTACCTCATCTTCAGCTGGTCAAGTCCAGAAGCCAAGATCCTGTTTCTGGTGAGAGGTGGCTTCTTAGTAAGACAGGTGGCCACTGATGGCCACTCCGGGAACTTGGACCCTACGGCAGAGCAGTGAGTCAGCTGACCTCCTGCACCGGCATGCAGCCTGGCAGCATCTTCCCCCAGTGAAGCTCCAACCCATCCACTCCAGGTCACCAGGGCCTTATCAGAAATCGGTGTCCCTGCACCTGAAGGCTGGGAGGTCCTGCCAGGGGACATCCTCTGGCTCAATAGCCCACCAGTCCAAGGAGTGGAGGTCACATAGTCCCTGACCTCCCTCAGTAGAGGACACTGGGTCATGCTGGGTACCAGAGAGGCCTGTATCTTGGGGGGTCTGAGTGTGCCCCCTGTACACACTTTCCAGAGACCCACTTCTGGGAAGGCAGTGACTTCTGAGTCAAAGACTGGAATTCTTGCAACCTATGAAAGTTGTCAGACCAAAATGGAGTCATTTCTGCCACTAATAAAAAAAAAAAAAAAAAAAAAAGAAAAGAAAAGAAAAGAAAAGAAAAGAAAAGAAAAGAAAAGAAAAGAAAAGAAAAGAAAAGAAAAGAAAAGAAAAGAAAAGAAAAGAAAAGAAAAAAAGCCAGGGGGATTTAAAGGAGCACCCTCAGGCACACACGCCTGTAGAACTTTCCGAAGACTCCGAACTGCCCTTCCACATAAGCTTGTGACACACGCTTTCGCCACACACTTTCCAAACCGCAGTTTGCTTCCCAAGCCACAGGGCAGCTAGTGGTTACACAAGCACACTTTCCTGGCCCACGTCTTCACTAATGAGCTGGTTCCAGCTCCCGGGACAGCCGCCATAACCCCAGTCTCCTTGTTTCAGAACAAACTACCTATACTTCTCTTCTGCCTTTAAAGCCCACCTTTGCCACTACTGCCTTGGAAATACCTTTGGCCCCCATAGCCGGTGTGTTCCCAGCCCCTGCACACTGCCAAATAAATTCAAGATCTTTGGAGAATCTCTGTCTGGTTGTTCCCTAGGCTGACAGGTTCCACATTGCATACTGAGCGCGTGCTGCCCTGAAGCCTGGCCCCTCTAAGCAAGCAAACAAACCAATCTTTGGGATCTTCTTTCCCATTTCTGTCTGCCCTGTCTTGTTCCCTAGAGGCTTCCTTAGCCCCCACCCCCATTCCTAGTCCTTTGCCTGAGGCTTTACAGTTTATTTTTATTCTTTATTTCTTCCATGAACAAGAGAGACAGAGAAAGAGACAGCATCTGCAGCAGAGGTCAGTTACTGTGACCCACCCTCAGCCTTCACCTAGCCCCATCATGGGCACGCACGTGCCCAGTGTACTTAGTGAGGTCTCCGGAAATGACCCTGAACCCTCCCACGTGGTCGGTGTCACAGGGCATTGTGTTTTACTGCTACACCATCATCCAACCCCCTTAGTTAAAAAACAAAAGCAACGATATTTTGCATTCATTTTGATCTTTTAAAATGTCATCTAAATTTAAGATACCATTTACCTCGATTACTTTTTTTGCGTCCCCTTTTGTTTTGCATCTAAAGCAAATGAACAAGCACAAGTTTGCTTGCTGGAAAAAGACACACAGAGGGACCAGCAGTTAGTGTAATGGCTATGTCACTGGACTCCCATGTAGTCGACTGCAGTTTGAGACCTGAACCCAGTGGTGTAAACTAACTCCGGGCACGTGTGTGCCCAAGATTCCGAGAGAATGGAGAAGGGATTGCGGTGTGGCCATCCCCCCTGGGGGGTGATTTCTCACTTTCTGTCTCTCTGTCTCTGTCTTTCTGGCAAGCGCATGGGCCCTATAGCAAAAACCTCTCCAAAAAAGGAAAGAAAAGAGAAGAAAAGTAAAAGACACACAGCCCAGGTATCCTCCTCATCCAGGTTTGTTCACATGGCACCCTGGCCGGGGGGGAGGGGACAGTTATAAGACTAGAATAAACAAGTGAGGCACTTGCTTTAGATGCAAAATTTAAAGACACACACACAAAATGTAATAAGATAAATAATATCCTTTTTTTTTTTTAAAGAGAGATTTTTGCTACAGGGTGTTTACTTGCCAGAGAGAGAGAGAGAAGGTGAGGAATCACCACCTAGGGGGAATGACTATACCTCAATCCCGTCTCCTCCTTTCTCCTCCCAGAATTTTTGGGACACCACATATGCACACACACCCGGACTGAGTTTCAAGCCACTGGGTCCGGGACTCAAACTGTGGTTGGCCATGTGGGAGTTCAGCGACATAACCGCTATACCATCTGCTGGCCCTGATAATATCTAAACACTCTTCTGTCTCTAGCAAGTGCACACATCCTCTGGTAATTGTTATTTTAAAAAATTATTATTATTGGGACCAGCAGTTTTCATAGTGGCTATGTTGCTGGTCTCTTATGTAGTCGACCGCGGTTTGAATCCTGGACGGGGTGGCTTAAACTCACAGCGGGTGCATGTATGTGCGTGCCCAAGATCCCAAAAGGAGAATGGAGGATAAAGGATTGCAGCGTGGCCATCACCCCCGGGGCGGGGGGGATGATTTCTCGCTTTCTGTCTCCCTCTTTCTGGCGAGCGTTGGTGAGCACATGTGCCCTACAGGGAAAAAAAAAAAAAAAAATAACCAAACTTCTCCAAAAAAAAAAAAAAGAGGACATTAGTGGGAAAAACTGGGGAAATATCATATGGTCTAAGTTTAGCTGATAGTACTGTACCAATGTTAATCTCCTAATTACTATTGCATTGTAATTATGTAACATGTCAGCATCATAGGAAGCTCCACAAAGGGTGTAAGGGGAATGCTAACATTTTTGCAACTTTTCTACAGGTCTAAAATTAACAATAAAAAGTTAAAAATAAAATTATAGCAAGGAAAATAACGTGGTTTCACTAACTCGAACTGCAGTTAGCCATGTAAGAGTCCAGCACCTCAACCACCATGCTACCTGCTGGCCCCCCACTTTTTGTTCCAAGATTCAACCCAGGATCCCACGTTGCATTAGTTGTCTTGTCTCCTAGTTTACACGAGGGGGGGACAAGGCCTCCTTGCATTGTTCTGTGGGTGTTGCCAGGTGTGCATGGAGAGGTCTAGGGCATTGGGGTCCATCTAAATCACTGAATTCCAGGTGCTCGGTTCAGTGACTTCTGGAGTGACCTGAAGGCGTAGCCTGGACCTGGGGCGGGGAGTCACTCCTGCTGCAAAGGATCCTCCCCCAGGAGTGTCATTCTGCTTGGACACCTGCTCAGGAGGTGCCGGGAAGGGGTACCTGTCCGAATGGGACTCTGCCTGGGGATGTCCTCCTCTGTCCACCTGGGCTTGGCCTGCTGCTTGGGGCCCATGCTGCTGCTGCTGCTGCTACTGGGTAAGTGCCCCCTCTCCTCCCCTGGCCCCTGAGCCCTAGTCTCTGTCCCTGCTCCTTGGGAAAAGGTAGGAGCATAAGACAGCTATTCCAGGAAAGGCTGGAACACAGGGAAGGCTGCCAGTGAGAGACCTGTGTGTGGGGTATGGGGACCCCGGCATCCTGCCCCACTGTGCACCCCACCTTTGGCCCAGCTGAGCCACCCCCCTCGTGACTGGCCTTGGTAATTCTGCCCCAGAAGTTTGCTTTTCCCTCTACTTATTCTTCTCTCCCAACTTTCTCACCCCTCCCTCAGCGGGGATGCGCGGTTTCGAAGGAGCAGGCAGGCAAGGGTGCTGCTGGCAAGGAAGAGAGGTGAGCAAGAGCAGGCGGGTCCAAGGCTGTGGGCAGAGCAGCTGCTGGAAGGCTGAGGACTAGGAGCTACCTGGCAAGGCTGGGAGAAAAGGGCAAGTACCTGCTCTGTGCCGCCTGGAGGGCTCACCTCTCCAGATGCCCCCTCCACCCTCAGGACCCTGACAAGCTCTGGGCGTTCGACCCTCCTTCTGCAGAGCGGAGGAGCCACAGCAGCGCTAATCGTGAACCCCTCCTTGAAAGTAGGAGGTGGCCAGTGACAGAGAGGGTCCTGCGGGAGACCTGTCAACCCCAACCCCCTCCCACAAACACACAGCGAAGCAGGGGAGGGGCCAGGCTGGGCACGTTCACTCGGAATGGACTGCGGCAAAGGCATCCAGTCTGAGTGAGATGCACCCGGGGTCTGGGAGCACTAGGGGGTGGAGGGTCGGGTGGTTAGCCTGGTTTGGTGATCTGGATCCCAGGAAGGAGATGCCAATCCCGTGTTCCAGACACCCTGGCTTGGCTGGATTTCGAGCTGGCTCAGCACATCTGGCCAGGGTCACCTTCTGCGCACCCCACTGCTGTGTGTGACTCTGAGGTGCCAGACACTCTCTGTCCTGAGGGGACAGCACCTGGAGAGCCTTCACTAAAACCACTGGTGGACCCTTGGGCCCCAAGCCTCAGGACAAAGCCCTGGGCTGTCGCACAGACCTCTTCTAACTGGCTGACCCTGGCTGGTGGTGGGTGCAGGAGCCAAGGAAGCCAAAGTACAACGGGGACAGATGTTAGGCCCTTGAGAGCGACAGTGAGTGCGAACACATGCACAGGAAGGGTTGGGAGGGCAGACCCACCACAGGGGAAGGAGGTACAGGAGGTCCTGAAGGAGAACCAGAGCTTACAGATCCTCCCAAGGGTCTCTAGGGGGAGCGGCC